CCGGGGCCGCCCTCCTCTTCCTCCTCTTCCTCCTCCCGCTGCTCTGTGCAGCCCCCGGTGAGTGAGCGCCCGCGGCCGGGACGGGGTGCAGGATGGATACGGGATGCGGGGAGGAAAAACACCACCCGGCGCGTCCTGTGGAGCGGGAAGGAGCCTTCCCCCGGTGTCCCGCACGAGTGAGTGTGTTCGGTCACGCCAAAACTTGTGCAAATTGGCTATCTTGAAGAGCTCGTTTTCCGGAGCAGTAGAGAGCTTGCAGGTCAGATCTGTTGCGCTGCCCGGCCGCGAGCTAAAGCCTTGGATCCCTTCTGGGAAAGGGCTTCTGCAGGAACAGCTTTGGTGTGCTTTGGGACAGGCTGCTAGGCACAATTCTGAAGTAGCCAGGTCATTGGCATGCCCCTCACGCAGTGACCTGGGGTTCCCAGGGTTGTCGTGCTGCCCCGTGCACTGTGTCGCAATACTGGCACTGGCTGCAGTCTTCTGCTGAAAAATATAACGATTTAGTCGGTGAAGAGGCCAGTGTGGGGGTTTTCTTGCCAAGACGAGCTGGGGAGAGGATGTCAGAAGCTTCCCTGCAGCGTATGTTGTGCTCGAGCGTGGAAACGGGAGCAAAGGGAGGCAATGGGAGAAACTTGCTACAGAATTTTGGCTCTTGGGCTGGAGCTATGACAAAAATACTTTCAGCATTCTCTGAAACGTAAACTTTTTTTTGTCCTTTCCTTCTTAGTAAATGTATTGGTTTTATTTTTACTTGTCTAGATGTTTCAAGGGGGAATAAGCTTAAACAGATGCTTCAGAAACGAGAAGGTAAGTGAAGAGACAGTGAAGTGCTTCCCCTTATTTTTCCCTAGTCAGTCGATGTCAGTGGAAACTGCCAACACATTGTCACAGAATTTACAGCTCAAGGCAGACAGCCAGAGGAGCAATGGACAAATGCCCGGTTCAAAGCTGGTAGTGCACAGCTGCTCTCGCTGCATGCCATACCAAAACCTGCCCGCATAAAATCACAGAATGGTTTGGGTTGGAAGGGACCTTAAAGACCATCTAGTTCCAACCCCATTGCCACGGGCAGGGACACCTTCCACTAGACCAGGTTGCTCCAAGCCCCGTCCAACCTGGTAACCTTAAACACTGGTGAACCTAAAACACGCCGGGGAAGGGGCCAGCCACAGCCTCTCTGGGCATCCTGTGCCAGGGCCTCAGCACCCTCACAGTGAAGAATTTATTTCTAATAGCTAACCTAAATCTCCCCTCTGTCAGTTTAAAGCCATTCTCCCTTGTCCTGCCACTACAAGCCCTTGCAAAAAGTCCCTCTCCAGCCTCTTCTAAAGGCCCCCTTTAGGTACTGGAAAGTGTGAATGGAGCCTTCTCTTCTCCAGGCTGAACTGTCTCAGCCTGTCTTCACAGCAGAGGTGCTCCAGCCCTCTGTTCATCTTTGTAACCCTTCTCTGGACTTGCTTCAACAGGTCCACGTCCTTCTTGTGTTGGGGTTCCCCAGAGCTGGATGCAGTACTCCAGGTGGGGTCTCATGTCTGTTTGGGATGTGGTACTGGCAAGGCTGGAGGCTCAAGCTCATCAGAGCCCCCTGTGAAAACCAGGGTTCCCAGCCCCAGGCAGTAAGCTGGCATTTTGCTCCACACAGTGTATAGCATCTACCTTTTCCAGTGTACACATGGCAGACGTGGCATTTAGCTGGTTTATTCTGGGAAGTCACAGTCTTTTCCAAGGAATTACAACACGTGGAAATACTGCTGGCTCAGGTACCGAGAAGAAAATGTGCAAACTGGGCTTGCTTCTGATGCCTTGACTTGTTCCCTTTGTCCTCTGGGCCTCATGTGTGCTTCCTCCTTGGAAGACTGCTTTCTCTACAGGAGCGATGGTGGGCAAGGGCCCAGTGGGCAGATGCACCGAATGGCTCGGGCTTTGAGGGAAAGGGGTGGAAACAGAGCTGGCTGGGACAAGCAGCACTGCAGCAGATGGAGGCAGGCTGAAACAGCCTAGAAGTTCTAGTGTCCTCCCCTCAGCCTGCTCCATGTCTAAGGCAAAGAATTTGCACCCCCCACAGAGGGGAATCCCACTTTCTGCAAGGCTGCCTAACTTCTCACTGCTTTCTTCCTGGCATCACCCACCACCTCTTTGCCAGCCCTAAGGCATGTGCCCCATCCACAGCTCTTTTCCTTGCACTTGCAGATAGGAGTGACTACTTGCTGCAGGCAACCCTGCCTGTGCCCAGCAGCAATCCACTTGTTTGTTCAGGTCCCCTGATGAGAGGGACCACCCAAAGGAAGGCTTTTGCAGCACGCAAGCACCATGGCCTAGACCAGGGAGAAATGCAAAGCCCTGAACTTATGATGGGGGGAATATGTAGCCCCCTAATTCCAGCCTCACTCCCCTTTTCCAGTTGTGTGATGAAGTGAGCAGGCGAAGTGCACAGTGCAGGTTCCCTCGCTGGCAGTGTCCCTTGTGCAGGGCTCATTGACATGACATGTGTTCAGCGGTCCCGCTTCTCAGTCACAGCACCCAGCTTGAGCGCACGGGGAGTTATCAGTTTCCAGCTCATCACCGCAGGGCAGCCTGCTGCTTCCCACTCCTCCTGCGACAACTCATCTATCGCCTTTACCTCCTGAAACTCCTTCCCTCGGCAGTCCTTCACCTCCCACCGTGAGTCTGCCCGGCTCCTACTTCAAAGTGTTTCACATTTCCACCTCACTTTCCTGTCTGCCCCAGCCTCTTCCCTCGCGTCCTCTCAAAATTCCTATCCACATCCACATTCCTGGTCTCTGCCTCATTGCAGCAAACTCTGTGAAGACAAGGCATTCCTCCTAGTCATACACATGCTTCTTGTTCAATGGGAAAGCCAAACATCATACCATGTTTTATCATTTCCATGTGTGGCAGGGGGGTAGCCTGTCCTCACATCCACACCTTTTGGCGGTACATAAATTCCTCTAGCAGCCATAGAAAACTGCCTGCCCTTAGGCATGGGGCAAGCCAGATGACACGCCTGGGTCCAGCAGGTTGAGGGCATTCCCACGTATCCACCAAACAGTGTTCTGTGAAAGCCTGATGGGCTTTTATTTTCAGGCATAGAGGGCATTTAGTGGCACTTGTTATTTAAAAGCTACATAGCAGGTTCAAAAATCTATCTTTTTATGTGGGCCGTCCTTCACCCTGGTAAGTTAACAGTGTTTCTCCAGCCTCTTCAGGCTTCTTAACTTCACCTCTCATCTCCATTCCCATTTCTGCAACAGCAGCACAGAGGCCAGCCTGCTCTCCTCAAAGCACAAATCCCCTGTGTATATGCTCTTTGAGTTTGGGTCTATTTATTTAAATTCCTTATTAGCTTCTGTCTTTGAGCTCAGAACAGCTTTTCAAAAATCCAAGTGGATGGAGGTAGCCGAGGAATCCTATTACATCAATGACTCCTGGGTTTATTACTGTTCCTGCTCTCACATACATCACACTGCCAAGCACAAAGGTGATGGCATGATGCAAGAAGCGTTTCCTTACTTGCTGCAAGCTTCAGGCTGACTAAAAATTTCCTGGCATGCCTTTTTGGGGGTTGGGGGGGGTTAATTTCAGACCCTGTTGCCATGAAGCCCGAGGTGTCAGTGAAAGAAACAACGGCCAAGGAGTTCCTAAACAGCCTGAGACGCCAGAGGCGCCAGCTATGGGACAGGAGCCAGCCTGACGTACAGCAGTGGTACCAGCAGTTCCTCTACCTGGGGTTTGATGAGGCGGTGAGTAAAAAGCTTTCAGGGGTCAGTAGGGCTTCAGGGTGTGTGGCTGCAAGAGTGGACACACAGCCATGGGGGCAACCAGGGAGAAGCTGCCCCACTTCTGGTCATGGAAGTAGCAAAGTTTCTAAAAAGCAGATATTGCTCAGAAATGTAAGCTCTGTTGTTTTTTAGAGATTTCTACCTTATTTTGTTGATAGAAAAACTGACATTCAAATCTTGCGTGGAGTTTTTGGCTGTGACTGATCTTAGCTTAATAAATTGCAAATGGATGTATAAACAAAGCTTGCTTTGAGAAACAGGCAGGAAGACCCAAAGCAATCAATCGTATTTCAGGAAATTAATTTGGCAGCTTCAACCTAATCAATTTACTTTTAAACATGCTGAGAAATACACACCAAGCTGGTCATGATTGGCATTCCTTAACGAAATTGCACTAACAATATGTAGCTAGTGCATGCCTGGGCCTCCATGGTATGGGCAGCTCCTGATCATTGTGAGCACTGGCTGCTGAGCCTCGACTATGAATGTGAAAGGAAAACCATTTGATAATGTGCAGCCAACCTCTCTTCAAATGAGAATCATAGAATCACAGAATGGTTTGGGTTGGAAAGAACCTTAAGACCATCTAGTTCCAACCCCCCTGCCATAAGCAGGGACACCACACACTAGACCATGTCTCCCAAGGTTCTGTCCTACCTGCCCTTAAACACCGCCAGGGATGGAGCATTCACAACTTCCTTGGGCAACCCATTCCAGTGCCTCACCACCCTCACTGTGAAGAACTTCTTCCTTATATCTAATCTAAACTTCCCTTGTTTAAGTTTAAAGCCATTACCCCTTGTCCTACCACTACAGTCCCTAATGAAGAGTCCCTCCCCAGCATCCTTATAGGCCCCCTTCAGATACTGGAAGGATTTATTTTTTAAAAACCAGTTAATTTGTAAAAACACTGGATTGGAATCAAGTGTTCACAGCTCTGCATAAAGCTCTAGTAAACAGATGCTGAAATAGGGTGGAAAAATGTGCATTTAGTTGCAGTCTCACATGTTAATAAGAGGTAAAAATAGTTATAGATGCTGAATTTTTGGCTTCTGTTAGCTGCATGAATGTGTTTAATGAGATTGCACTGGCACGGGCAAGCTGGAGAACATTTTGGACCTTCATGCTATGTGGATTGCTTAAAGATGAACACACTTATTTTCAAAGCTGGAACGATTAGAAAAATAATCCTTTACTTGGACTGAAATAATGAAGGATACTTTTTTGTTTTATCTCCTGGGCATCATGCAGATAAAAGTGACTTTTTAACATCATGGCTATAGCACCCTCCCCCAACAGGAATAGGAAAAATAGGCAAAGTGGTTTTATACATCAGAAACTAAAGACTGGGGGCAAATACCGAGAAATAATAAGGACAAACCATGTAGATAAGACAAATTCTCCTCTGAGTTCCTGTGTGCATTTCGAAAACTGAAATGAGGTCTGTTGTGGGATACAATGAATCTGCTTAGTAGCTTTTCTTGAGTATTAAGACACAGTTTTAACAATGAAATAACTGTTTGTTCCAAGCAAAGGACTTGGGCCATACTTATCCATTGTGTATTTTGCAAAACTTTTTTTTCCAATTCTCAGCCAAAAATATTTCCAAAGAGTCATTCAGATGGAAAGGCTTTGGCTTGGCAAGTATTTGATATCCTTGCACACATTTTTTCCTCTACTGTTGTGAGCAAAGTTGAACTGCTTATTGCATTTCCGTAGCTAGAAGGCTGCACTGTACCTTCATTTTTACCCATGCAAAATGGGAGCAAAAGGATCACAGGCATAAAGCCCATTGCACCCACTGTGCAGTCAGGGTCATTGTCATTAAAGGCGTGGGGCCCTGGAGAACCAAACCTTTAGATTTTTAAGTATGAACCATTAAAATGTTTTTATTGTCCACCACGGAAAAGGTAACAGAAACATTAAAGGTGCTCAGTGAGCGTCTCAGTTTAAGCACTTCACAGGGGGCAGAGGGTGTCGGGATGAGTCCCATATGGGGCTGGGCAGGACTATTACTGCACTCGGGACCCTGATAAATCCCATAGAGAATGGAGGTACAAGTCACAGAACCCACAGAGCTAAAGATTTCATTTTGGCAAGTACACAAAGGATCTGAATTTCTGAAAGAGACAAAATGAACCTGTTGCACTATTTCTGTTTCTCTCTCTTTGTCATAGAGTTTAGGCTAGGAAAGTGTTCTCTTTTGTCCACAGAAATTTGAAGATGACATGTCCTACTGGACCAGCTTAGGCCGTGCTCGCAATGAATACTATGGTGGATACTACCAGCACCACTATGATGAAGACTCACCGATTGGTCCACGAAATCCACACACTTTCAGGCATGGAGCAGGTGTCAACTATGATGATTACTAATGCCATTTATCCTACCACAGTTGGTGCCTACAGGGTTGCACTGTGTGAGGCCAAGTCCTCCTCCCTCAGCCAGAATGACCCCGCTTTCATTCTATTAATGCAAAGCAGCAAAAGAACCGCCACACTCCGACAAAAGCAACGTGACTTTTTTAATTATTGTTACTTAGTAGCACACTCTATATAAAGTGTTACAGAAATAAAGCTTTTTTTGATAAAGAAGTTGCCATTATTTAGTAGAGTTTGCAACACCAAGTTTCATTCCAACTGTATTACTACAGATCGCTTTTTAAAGGGCTTTTTCACTTGTTTTCCTGCAATCAATCGCAAAATTACGTTATATCATCTAGTTTGGCATAGTATAAGCCAGTGCATTTCAGATGTGCCGGCTCATTCAGACTTATGCCAACAAACAAATCGAGTTACTCTTGGGGGAAAAGAAAAAACACCCAAGCATTCCTCTCAACTGAAGTGCTGCCTTGTTGCCTCCTCTGCTGTTTCCGTACCTACCGCACACAGCCCTCCAGACCGGGGTGACACGGCACTTCTGCAGTTCCTGTTGGGCAAGGACAGACGTTCACAAAAGCTAAATTCAGTGTGGAGGAGCTCCCCTACCTGCAAAGCCTGTGAAAGGAAAGGATTCTCCAGGGAAGGGGCTCAGTGCAGCAGTCTGACTTCAGAGGCAATTGCTGAGATGCACAGCATTTAGCCTGAGTGGCCCCAACCATTCCCAGGCACGATAACCCAAAGGTTATCTTTGATGAATACTCCCCTTTGTGTCCTTTCCACTGAGCAACAAGCTTTCGGGCGAGCTCGACACTGAATAAAATAACAAACTAAGCTATTTAAAATGAGGTTAGTATCAGACAGCATCCAACACAGTCCCCAGGTGCAATTTCCTACCACGAAGTTCTCTCTATCCCCAATTCAAACTGGAGTCTACGCACGTTATCAAAATATATCAGAGCTTGGGCATTTGCTAGTGAAGAGCAGTGGATTAGAGGGGGGTTGGTTAGTGGGGTTAAGATCCTCAAAATACAACCTGCTTTTCTACCACAGCAACATCAGCCACGTTGTTGCTGCTCTCTTGTAAAATCCTCATGCAGACCTAAATCCAGGAGGGAGATTTCAATTGTCAGGGGCTTCAGGAGGAGCTTGGTGGGGGAAAGAGATCGGGCAGGTGAGAAAGGGTGGCTGCTCCACAGCTTCTGGAGCTGAAACATCAGGATAAAGGGAGATGAAATGTGTACTGCAAACTGCAGCAGGCAGAGAAGACAGCATTGGGTGTTTCGGCTGTCTGTCATCTAAAGCTTACTAGAAATCTCCAGAGCATGGGTCATGGTAACACCATTCTTTACACTTCACTTCTTTCTTAACTCTGAGTGTACTTCCTAATCTTCCACTTAAAGCCCCCACTGTGTGATGGAGTGGTGTCTAGGACAGGCAGCCCAGCAATATCCAGCTCCCTGCAGGAACGCTTCCAGGGAGACAGCTTTTTGCTGAGGGAGCCAAACTGAACAAACACGTTAGTCACTTCTGTTCTGCACGTACAGATACACACTGGAGTAACACGCTCCAAAACCTCAGCTTCCCCTAGATTTCGGAAGGCTTGCTTTTAGCAGAATCCTTGCCAGTTTAATCACTTTAATACTGGTGTATTTCCGTGGTAGAAGAGCCTTTATTCCAAATACGGAATAATCGCATTCTGAGTCAAGCACGCACTCCTTTGCACAGTTGGAAAACACCTATTCCTAGAAGAATAATTCCATTTTGGTGTCCTAGCAAAAAAGTGCACTGAATTTGGCGCCATTTGAACCATGATGGTAATTTCCATCATTTCCCAGAATTTACAACTGGGAATTCAGAGCTGCTGAATAAGGAAGAATAAAGTGCTGCAAATAAACACCAGCTCTTCCTAGGCCTTTGTAAGCTGTGCCTGTTCCTGCAGACTGACTCAGCCCAGCAGCTTTCCGTGATTTGCAGGCTCACAACAAAGCTGCAATCTCTCTCTTCTGGATTCTCCAAGAGAAACAATAAAAATAAGAACCTCTTCCATTATGTTGTGTTGCAGGCTGAAGTCTCCCTGGGATAGAGTTAGCTTTCTTCATAGCGACATGCGTGATGCCATGTCCTAGATTTGTGACTAGACCAGCACTGATAACAGGCTGATGTTTCTGGTGCTGTCCAAGGGTGCTTGCACAGCACCAGGGCTGCCTGCTTCTCATGCTGTCCCCCAGCAAGTAGGCAATGGTGGGTGAGAGGGTGGGAGGCTACAGAGCTGGGACAGCTGACCCAAACTGGCCAATTCCATACCATATAACGACTTGCTCAACATTAAAAGCTGGAAAGAGGAAGAGAGGGGGTGAGGGGTTCTATCTTCCACAGCAGCCATTGCTCAGGGAGTGGCCTTTGCATCACTTTTTTTCCCTTTTTTCCTTCATTTATTAAACTGCTTTTATCTCAACCCTCGTTTGCTCATTTCTGCTTTCATACTCCCCTCTGTCCTGTTGTGGGAGGGGAGTGAATGGCTGCGAGGGTACTGGGCTGCTGGCTGAGGTCAACCCACCCCATGGCAATAGCTCTGAGGAGAGGGCACCCTCCTTCTCGCAGAAGGGTGCACCTACCTAGAAGTGTAGCAGTGGTGATAGTGCAGAAGTACATGCAATAAGCTGCAGAGAAACCAAGTATGAGCAGTCACAGGTTTGGGCAAAAGGAGGAAGACCACTAAAAAGCAAAGTTTGGCAGCATGCATGGAGTGCTCCTAAGTTAACTACATAAAGTTAATTTCCTGTTGATTTTTTTGTGTCCCAAAACACAGCCAAAAACTGTGCACCCCTGCACAGCCTTTCCACTATGCACTTTGCATCGCTGTTATCAACCCCAGCCACCCCATGGAGGGGGGTCTTCATTCCCCTTAAGTTCCTACTTGTAACACAAACACGTTGAGGGTGGGGAATGGGCACTTTATCACAGGACTGCTCCCCAGGTGGAAGATGTAGGTTTCCTTGCTCAAAGCAGCTTTCCCTGCAGTGGGTCAGAGCCCAGATTGCTGTGCTTGGCTTTGATAATACTTAAGGCCACCCCAAAGTTCCCTGTGGCTTCATGATTTGGACCTTCTAGCTGCTTCAGCCATGGCATGGCCAAGGGATTCAGAGGATCCTCCTCCCTCCAGAGAAGCGTGTCAGAAACTAGGGAAAACAGCAAGAATGAACCAGCTGGTGCTTGTTCCAGCTTGTACATGGCAACAAAACAAGGTGGATGGAAGTTGTTGCCACATTTGTTATTATGGAATAGGCAAGTGAGAGTGGGGAAAGGGAGTAGGAAAAGGAATAGAGAACCAGAGTCTGGGGGTTTTTATGCTAGAAATATGAAGTGCTGTTTCAGCAAAATCTCCCTGTCTTGGAATCACATTCAGGAACCTCCTGCCATACAACAGAAGCCATGTTTTTCTCCAGAGCAATCGCTGCTGTTCCCGGTAGCTCTAAGGAGTCAGAGCTGCAAATAAAGCATTCTCTTCTGCCACCACTTGTGATCCAAGCACAGGGAAATGTTCACAATGGAGCAAGTATGGATTTGTGGTAGCTGCGTTCCCACTGATTTCAGGGAGGGGATGTACAGGTGGACTAGCAATGCTGAGTGCACGCTTCCCCTGCTAGTAACAAAGCACTTCTTCCTGTAGACAGGTCTTGTCTGATCAGCCTTTAAGAACCTTCAAGGACTTCTTGGCCTCAAGCAGCATTAACTCAATACTAATAAGACTGGGGACTAATGCAATCCATCACACTAATCAAAGCCCCCGTTTGCCCTCTGTTATCCTGTTCTCTAAGGCTAATGAATTTATGCAACTGTGTGTCTTCCCCCCTTCTCCCTTGCCTCTTTCTCTCAACTCTGAAACTCAATTCCAACCCTGACTAAAGTGAAAGTTTTCTTAAATATATTATATTCCTGGAAATGCATTAAGAAAATAGATGACAGAGACATTCATAAATGCCAGAGGGCGATGAGCTCACTGGCTACTTAACCCACAGAGTCCATATACATTAAGAGAAATGCAAACACCCCAGGCACAGGAAGACTGTCAGATCAGATCATGATTTGTCCATATGGAAAAAATCTAACCTAAACAGGACACTTCTCTAGACTATATATTCATGGAACTACTTGAAATAAATTTGGTCTCCAAACCCCACTATAGCTTGTCTATAGACCAGCAATGTGGTTTACAGTGCTCCTGAGCAGCCTACATAGAGAAATAAAGCAACAGGACATCATGTTTAAAAGAAATAAATCATAAAATCCAACTGTGGATCTCCCACTGTGGTAACTTCCAGCAGCAGGAGTCATCCTCCCTGTGAGGTTCAGGATGCCTTGCACACATCTACTAGAAGGCTGATCTCTGTCGCCAGCAACAAGCTGGCCATTTCACCAGACCTCTGCTACACTGCATATCCTCTGAGAAAGGAAGACATGCATCTAACACCGGCTGAACTGCCTGTTCGTGCAGATCACTGTGACTAAATAGGCACTTCAATGCATCTATTTATATGTCATGTTAGTTCTACCTTGCCTGCCCGCCCAGGTGTCAGCAGAAAATCCCAGATTTCCTGAACATCCCCCCCCACCCCGTTACAATGCATTCTATTACAGCATGGAAATGAGAACATGTCTCAGCTTCATCTACTCCCAAGCCCTATGTTTCCAAGCTTTCAGTGCTGTGTTCGACCGCTCTCCATCAGAAGTAGCTCTCCTGGCAAGGCAGCCGCTGTTTCTTACCTGTGGTTCCCTGCAGATGCGATGCTTCTTTCTCCTACCGAGACGTGAAACCCCAGATGGGAGCAGAGAGCATCTGCCTTCTCAAAGACTCAGTTCAGACCAGGCAAATTACCCCAGACTTTCAGTCTTAAGCACCTGAGGAGTGTGTTTTAACAGCCACAGTTCATGCCTTTCGAATCAGCTAGTAGGCCAGTCACTGGCTTCAGACACAAAGAGTGGCAACAGCTGCC